TTGGCCTTCCCATGAGAATTCAGCGTCTGATTCTCCTCCCCTTTCTCCAGCTCCTGCTAATCTTTTCTCTGTTTTCCTCTCTGCCTTTATTCCCAATTTTATTTCTTGTTTCTGCTTTTTCCTTTAGATTACTTAGGTAGCAGCACAGGGCTAAGAACACAGTCTCTGGGGTCAGAACACCTGGGTTCAGCCTTGTTCATCGGACCTGAGGCAAAATCCACACATGGCCACCCTGCAGGATGGCACATAAGTGACACTCATCTCCAGTGGCAGCCTGAGCTCTAAACCACATCTGCCACAGAGGAGGTGTTCACTCAGAGTGAGCTGCTACTGTTAAATATGGCTCTCTTTTCTGTCTTTCCTTTCCCCTCCTCTCTCTCTTCCAGTACCCACGTCTTCTCCACATCTGTACCGCTTCATCTGTGTCTCTCTAGGTGACCTCCTTTCTCCAAATATTCCTGCTCTTAAGCAACATCCCCCACAATTATATCATCCTTCTGCCATCACCTAGTGTGATATTGTAATACCATAAGAAATGTATGCTTGGGCTCCCCTGCTCCTGGCCAGAGTCCCTAAAACCTTTATAATATCCTAAACATCAAGGGTGAAAAAAGCATGTTTTGTCATTCTTATCACCTCTCTTTCACCCATACCTTAGGTTATGTTAAAGAAGTGACTTTTGAAAACCCCTAAGGATGGAAGGCTGGTAAGGAGGAGAGAACTGATCACATGATTGAGGACTAAGAGTTCCAGGAAGGAGAGGGGGAACAGAGATTGACTTCACCACCTACAGTCAATTATTTGATCAATCATGACTATATAATGGAGTTTCTATAACAATCCTAAATGACTGGGCTCAGAATCCTTCTGGGTTAGTAACAAACGGAAGTGCTGGGAGGGTGGTACATCCAGAGAGGGTTTGGAAGCTGGTGCCCTTTCCCCATGCTTTGCCCTATGTATCTCTTTCATTGGGCTGTTTTTGAGTTATATTTTTTTAATAATAAATTAGAAAGAACAAGTTCCCTGAGTTTTGTGAGCCATACTAGGCAAGTATCAAACCCAAATAAGACTTCACAGGAACCTCCAGCACAGGCCACCACATGAGACCTGCAAGTGGCTTCTACAGTGAGAGACCGAGCCATTAACATGCAGAGTCTGTGTAAATTCTGATAGAACTGAATTAAATCATAGGACACTTGGTATCTGCAGAGAATTGGAGAGCTGGTTGGTGTGCTGAAAACCTCCACACATGCACTGTCAGAAGTGTCCTATGCCTCACATGGACATGTTTTCTTTCACTAAGAGTCTTCTCTAATACTGACCATGGGCCATAGTTCTCAGCCTTTCACAGCTCTAGAAGGATTTTCTCCTGGAGGGATCTTTCTAGTCACAATTTCTTCCAGTAGTTAGTGTCTTTAAATCTGGAACTAGTGACACCCTGCACTCCAGTCCCTCCATCCTGGTTATTGGGCCAACAGTGTCTTCTTATGGCTGCTCCTCAAGGACCCAACACCTGGGTAGCAGCTCAGACACACTCCGCTCTCAGCCTTCCTCATCCTCACTCCTCCCTGACTCACCATCTCTATTCAGTACCTCAGGCCCCTTTTCCTCTTAACAGAACAGAAAATTCCCTCTTGTTGTTATTACCTTGTTCAAGACTTAGTTGGCCAGTGGGCCCCTCCACTCTCTTTTCTTCAGCAATTTCTTGCCCATATGAGTTTTCTAGGACCACTGAAGAGCCAGTCAGAGAGAGTCAGAAGGAGAGAGAAGACAATTAGATATATCCAGCAGAGACCTTGGACAACAATTTATATTTAAGAATTCCCAGCCCTTGAGTCACTCAGAGTTTAGTGGGTATGACATGACTTAAAAGTTCTCCCATCATCCCTGGGACAGAACAGAGAAGATGTCATCAAGGAAGACTTTGCTCCCCACACAGAAAAGAGACACTCAGATTTAAGACAAAAAAAGTAAAAACATTGTGAGCTATTTCACTTGCCTAAAAACATTTCAGGTGGTAAGGAAAGCATATATCAGAACAAATCATAGAAGTGAAGTATGTTTTCAGAACTGTTTAAACTGGGAAAGAAATGGGGATTTCTTCTGGAGATCTCACGTCCTAGACAGAGCTTATTATAAAAGAGATTTAGTAATGGGGCTAGAAAAGAGGAATGTTTTGGCTTAATTGGATTAGGGAGGGTGAGTGATTACCAAAGAAACATAAAAGGACATGGGGGTAGCTCACATGGACTTTACGACAGGAGGGGGCAGCATCTCCCGAAGGGCAGGGAGGCAACAGCACTGGGTGAGGTGGTGGGCAGCATCTTGGGCAGCTCTAGTCTTGGAGCTGGTAACCCAAGCACAGGGAGCCTCTAGGGGGCTGGGATGGAGGATCCCTGTAGTCCATGGAGACAATTAGAGCCCCTGAGAAGTGAGCAGTAAAGGTTAACACTGTTCCCTTGGTGTGCACAACCTAAGGATATCCTCGTCATAAACACAATATTGACTTAAAATTTCTGCACCATTATTTTATTTCATTTAATTTTCTCTTCTGATTTAAATGATTTCTTATAGATATTATTTTATTGTTAATTAGATAAGGGTTACTATTGACAGAAATCAACAACCTGTTTAAATTTTTTCCCTTGCTTATAAACCTATTATTCCTCTTGACTGTCTCTTAAATAAACTTCAAATTCCTTAGCTTTAAATGCCAAACCCTTCAAAATCTTTCTCCAACTTGTCTCTTTTGAATCAGCTCCTACACTAACTGCTCTGCACTCTTGATGTGGCCAAATCCAATTCGTTCTGTTTGCAGATGTGCTTGCACCCCTTACTCCTGTTCTGATAGCATCTGCCCTCCAGGGGGCATCTGCCCACTTTTCTTGTGCTGTCTCTAGATTTTATTTGGGAGAACTGTGTTGAGATCAAACTGTGTTGAAATAAAAAGTTTTCTTGGCAAGTGAAAAAAAAAATACGGGGGCATCCTCGTTACTATGTCTCAGTAAAAGAGGAAATCCTGGCTTATTAAGAAAAAGGTCTAGAATCAAGCTATTAGTTTTGTATAGCTCCAAAAGTGGTCCCTGGCATAGCAACCAGTTTTGTGATTGTATAAACAAACATTTACATAATGTTTGTTTCACCCTTTGTGGGTAAAGGGTAAATAAATAAATAAATAAACAAATAAACAATTTCTCCATTGTCAAAGGCAAATTTCACCCAGTATTTACTTTCTTATTTGCTACTCTGGAAATTGTGGCCTTTTTGCTGTTACTAGGCAACCACAGAGCTTAAAAAGAGCCATGACTGGCAGACTGGGAAAGACAAAGCATGAACTACAGGTGTCTGGTGGAAAGTCTTGACTTTGGTCATAATTCAGCTTATTCCTTGTGGGGTCCCCTGCTCCCTGATTAATGAGGACTTATAAGATATATTGACTGTCATGGGCATGTAGTGCCAGGCCAAGGTAGATCCTGCAACTACAGATAAGCTGTCACTCAAGGCAGGTGGTAGTCAACTGGCAACTGCTGTGTAGACCACTACAAGGGCTCCCACTGAAGAGCGGCAACTCATGTTGCCCTGTTGGGATTCTGTTCTTCTAAGTAAACCTGATGTCAGTGTGGCTCCAGTTGTCTTGTGAGTCTAAATGTCCAAGTTAGCAGACTTCAAAGTGGTTGTCATACCATAGCTATCCTTTTTTTTTTTTTTAATTAAATGATAACTATGTACCTTAATGTAATTCTGGGGTAGGTATTACACAATAAGCTTCAAGAAGGCTCACAATTTGCCTTCTTTTGTTAACTGCTCCATCCCCACTGCTGAGCAGTATGTGACATGGGGTAGAAGCTCAATATATGCTTGCTGAAAAAAAATTGGCCCTGGACTTCAGAAGGTAAGTAACAAACCTAATTACCATTTTTGAAGCTTTCATAAATGGGAATTAAATCAGGGTATTCTTGCAGGTGGAAGTCGCTGAACAATTCACTCAAGACTTCTAGGTTAAATGTCTTCTCCAGCTCACTGAGAACGTTGTACACCACTTTTTGTACAGGGACCAGGTTTCCACAAGAGTCTTGAGAATCCTTAAAAAAATTGAAGGGCAGAAATATAAATATGGGTTTCAAAGAGTCCTGGAAAGTAATTTTATACTTAATGTGCTCCAATGGCCCTACATATATATCTTCTCATGTACAGTTTTATAATTTTATGTATTCATATAGCTACTAAATGAAACAAGTAAAGCCTTCCTCCTTAAAAATATCCATTGATGAGTCTGATCTCTTTACTTTCATTGACATTAGATGTAAAAAGGAACAATTTTGGAAAATAAAATCAGGTTTACATAAAATGATGTGTAACCCTGGGCAAGAAGCCTGGCAAGATGTTTTAAGAATAGACTTAGCAGATGATGAGTAGGTGTTCTGTTGACAAACTCTGCCCTTTTCTCAGAACTAACTTTGCCAGAAAGGCTCAGGAAAACAAGGTGACTATTCTCTTTTTGCCATGAACTTGGCCACAGACAAAGCATACTCACAGGCAAAGAGAGGATTTGCTGTTCCGTATATCCAACAGAAACTATTGGTAAAATTAACCAAATTTTAAACATTTAAAAATAGAAGGAAAAAGAAACCTGCAAAATGTTGAAGTAAGCAGAGCAAATATCTACATCCAAATTTGTCCTAAACAGACACTAATTTCCTCTAGGTTTTAATGTTCTTAGACCTAGATATTTAAATTGATGTTAACTAAAATAAAATGCCATGTTAATTAGTATTTCACTAAATTGATTATAATTATTCATCAGTTTCTTAATTGATGTAAAATTATTTCTAATTTACAGTTAATGTTATATTTTATGAATTCCTATAAGACATTGTACATTGATGGAGTATATCTATTTCTGATCCAACTTATTTGGATCAGTGCCATTCACTCTGATGCTAGAGGGTGCCACAGAACACTGTTCCTTGAGTAAGATGTAAGATTTATGCTTCTTCTCCCCTTCTTCGTAACAGAACACTTACAGAATATTTGAAAAGGAATCCCACTCATAGAAGACCCCTCAGTCATCTACTTGTACTCCAAGGTTTTGGTCTAGGGGATATTATCAGTCAAGTTATTTGGGTCTGGCTTACAAGATTGTGACATAGTGAACTTTACTTACTTTAAACAGTTTATCTGTGATTAATTTACGGTCATGAAGGCGCTCAAAGAATGGAAATGTCTTTTTTATTGCATATGAAATGTCCACCTTATGTTGTTGGAAGTGATCAAATATACGATTCCAGATAAGCCTGTCCACTATGTTCTGGTCTTCTGTGGACATCCTAAAGAAAAGGGATATCATGTAAAAATAGTCATTAAGATGCTGAGATGTTTGTGGAGGATATAGGACTTTAAATATGAAGGATAGGCTATAAAGGAACAACATATATAAAAGAGGAGGTCCTGAATAGAGACCAGAGTAAATGGAACTTAAGCAACAAAGAGATATGTAATAGAAGGCAGCATGGAGGTTGTGAAAGGCTAGTATAAATAACTGAAAAATTCCTGTCCATCTCAACTAAAGCCATTGCAAAGATATCATCTACTAAACATAACTGGAATATTATTTAATTTTTAAAAATCTAAATTCCTATAAAATAAAGATGGTATAAGCAGGTCATCCATAAAGAAATGAAAAACAATCATATAAAAATACAATCCAACCTTGAGAATTCATCTTAATTAACAAATAAGAGAAGATAAATCTCAGAAAATTAAAAACAATCTCAGAAAGATAAGAATAAGCTGTTAAGGGAGAAATAGCCTACATTATAAAATTAATTTATAATTAATATTATGTGGTTTAATAATGATAATGATGATAAAGTATAAATTGAGACTATTATGAAAGTATCAATAATATCTCCTGGAACATCTGGTTCTGCTTTGTGTTAATATAAATTTGTATGTGTTATTGATATATATAATGAATCATTTTAGGGTTCTGAATTTCAGAAATTATGACTGCTTCCTGTGAACCTGAGACTGCATTTCTGGCTCTTAGTCAATCATATTATTGTTATGATAATGTCTTAATCAACATCTCTATATTCCTCAATGCTATGAAAACTCATAAACTTTCTTTGTCTAACAAGAACAAAATTATCAGCACTTCCCAGTACCCAAAAGGCAGCAGGGAATAAAAATGCCATATTATTGTTTATTAATTCCTATTTTAAAAAGTTTCTGGTTAGAGTTCCTGGTTAAAGCATATCTTCTTTTTTATTAAAGACCCCACTGAAGTTATAACACAGGAGTTAGATTCACAATGACAAAGAGAATTGTAAAGAACAATGAGTAGATGAAAATTTTCAACCACATGAGAGACTTGCTATTGTAGGGGGAGGATCCTCTCAGACATAAGGAGAGCAATTAGTGTGCCCTGAAGAACCCTGAAGCTTCAGCTGAGATTGAGAGGAAGATGCAGGGCTGAAAAGTTATGTGTTAAAAATGAAGAACAGAACAATGCCCATGATAACTAAATGCAGCCAGGCAGCCGCTCAAGGGCAAATGTGGCTGTCATTTCTTTTGCTATACATTAATACTACCTGTAATTGGATTTCACATAAATGGAATAATACATAATGTATGCTTTTGTATCATGAAAGGGTGCTGGATTTCATCAGATGCTTTTTCTGCATCCATTGAGCTGATCATATTGTCTTTGTTTTTGCTTTTGTTTATGCTGTAAATCACATTTATTGATTTTTATATGGTGAACCATTCCTACATCCCTAAAATGAAGCCCACTTGGTCTTGGTGGATTATATTCTTTATGCGCTCTTGAATTCAGTTTGCTAGTTTATTGAGGACTTTACATCTGTATTCAGAAAGGATATTAGTCTGTGGCTTTCTTTTAAGTGCTCCTGGGAAAATTTGATAACCACATGCACAGAGTAAAATAGGACCCCCTACCTCTCCTCAAAAACTTAACTCAAGATAGATAAAAGACTTACATCTAAGTCATAAAACTATAAGAATTTTATAGGAAAATATTGGGAAAACTCTTCTAGATGTGGGCCTAGGCAAAATATTTATGACTAAGGCTCTAATAGCAGTTATGGCAACATCAAAAATTAATAAATTGGATTTGATTAGATCAAAAAGTTTCTGCATAGTTAAGGAAATGATCAAAAGAGCAAATATATAACCAATAGAATGAAAGAAAATACTCGTAAGCTACACATCTGATTCAGAACTCATAATGAAAACATACAAAGACCTCAAGCAAATCAGTAAGAATAAAAATGAACAATCATATAAAAGTAGACAAAAGACATGAACAGGAGGTTGTGAGAAGAATATATACAAATGGCCAATAAACATATAAAAAAATGCTCAATATCATTAATCATTAGATAAATGCAAATTACAACCACACTGAGATATTACCTTGCTCTGATCACAATGACTTTAAATAAAAAGTAGAAAGCCAATAAATGCTGGCATGAATGAAGAGAGAAAGGAACACTTTTACTCAGTTAATGGTAATGCAAATTAGTATAATCTCTATGGAAAACAATATGCATATTCTTCAAAGATCTAAAAGTGTACCTACCATTCAATCCAGCAATACCACTATTGGGTATTTACCTAAAGGAAAAGAAACTTTTAATCAAAAAGACACCTGCACTCAAATGTTTATTACAGCACAATACACAATTGCAAAAACATAGAATCAACCCACATGCCCATCAATTTCATGAATTGATTAATAAAATGTGGTATTTGTACACCATGGAGTACTATTCTGCCATAAAAATGATGAATTAATACCTTTTGCAACAATCTGAGTGGGACGTAAGACCATTCTCTTAAGTGGAGTATATCAAAGATGGAAAAACAAGCACTATATGTGCTCACCACAAAACTCAAACTAACTGATTAGGACACGTGCACAGGGGAAAGTAAAACTCTGTGGAAATCAAGCAGGGAAGAGGGGAAGAAAAGTAGGGCAATTAACCAACCTAACAAGTGCTATGAACACTATCTGGTTAATGGGCACACCTAACACTAGGACTTGAGTCACAAAAATGATTTATATAGCCTAAAACATTTGCATTCCCTTAACATTTTGAAATTTTAACAAAGGGAAATAATCATTTCATCAGCAAATGAAAAGTATTTTACCATTTCTTCTCTGATAATTATTTCTTTTTTCTTATCTTATTGCATTGGTTCTGAGTTACAAATAATGTTGAAGTGATGATGAGAGTGGACTTTCTTGTCTTCTTTCCAATTTTAGGGAAAAGGTATCAGTATTACTAGTAACTATGATGTTTGATGTATTTACACAAATGTAAATATATATATGCATAAATATATATTTTGAAACTGATTAAAGTAGCTCCTACCTATTCTGCTTAGAATTTTATCAGGAGTAGATGTTGAATTTCATCAAGAGGATCTACTGAAATAGTCATTGGATTATTCGTTTTTATTCTTTAATTTGGTGAATCACATTGGTTGATTTCCAGAGCCTCCTCTTAAGTAGAAACAGATAACCTAAAATCAATAGACATTTGAGAAAGAAGAATATTCAAAAGTAGGAGAAAAAGGTATTGTAGAACAGAAGAACAATTTTGAATACTAACTAGTTTCATGTAAACTAGTTATATAAACAAACTAACAATGTTGAGTTGAGAGGTAAAAGGAAATGTGAGTTAAATGATTTGTTTCAACCATGAATGAAAACAATATGATTGAAATTCAACTATGGGGGGGAGGGGCAAGATGGCTGACTGGAGCCAGGTTTTGACAGAAGGTCCCATCCAGAGGGAAGGATAACGACCAGACAGTACCCAATAAAGCTGAAGATTGGGAGCTGAGCTGAGAAAGAAGAGTGATAACTGCACATCACCATGTGCAGAGACATCTTCCATGTAGATTCAGCAACAGTAGAGCGATCCCACCAGGGTCTAATTTTAGAGAGACACTTCCCCAACCCTGAGGACTGCCAGAGGAAGCCAGACCTCACCCTATAAGGATACTAGTGCTACAGAGCAGCTGGGGCAAAGCCATGGTAGCTGAGGGAGAAAAACATTTGCTGACTTGATATCCTCAGGTTTGGACTGAGCTGAGGTGGAACACTCCCCAGTTGCCATTGAGTACCCAAGGCAGGCAGGTGTCAACTCCCCCATCTGGCTGGTGGCAGAGGGTGGTGGCCACGCCAAGGGGGCAGTGACTTTCCTTTGACTCTGGCAGGCACAAATCCCTGACACATTTGTTTATTGGAGGGAATAGGACCACAGCCCCATGGGGTTACCAGTGACTGGGTGTGAAAGAGGGGCAAGGAGGAGAAAGAGACACCAGCCCCCTGGTCCAACTCTGCTACTGGTTGGGCCTTTTTGACTCCACAGAGCACCAGAGCAAGCCACACTGGAGTAGTTGCTGTCTAGTTGCTGAAGACCTTTCGAACTTTCCCACTTGAGAGTTAGTACTGACTGGGTCAATGGATTTGGAACTCCTGACCTGGGCCAATCACCCAAGGATCCTTCAGGGTGGGACCCCGGTTGTGTAGTAGCGGGAAGGGTAGATTTTCCTCTTCCAGTTGTTACCCATGGAGACAGAGTGTCTTATTTGCTTGTATTTCTCCACAGCTGAGACTTCAACCCAGAGTCTCTGATCCATAAGATCGGACAAATATCAGCTGACTATAAAACAGAGCCACCTAATCCCACCACACCAAACAGGTCCCCAGAGTCTCAGACTGTAACACTGAATGGGTCATTTGCAAAGCTGCAGGGGAAAAAGCTGCAGTCACCTATCCCAGCTCCTTGACAAAGGGCTAACTCCAGGAGCCCTAAATCCAATTTCACCTTACCTGTCCATCTAGCTAAACAGTGAAAAATATTCAAGGCACGGAATCAGCAGAAAAACTCTGGCAACATGAATAACCAAAGTAGATCAACTCCCCCAAGGATGTTAATGTAGACACACCAGATGATCCCATTCATAAACAAATGGCTGAGATGTCAGAAATTAAGTTCAGAATTTGGATAGCAAATAAGATTAACAGAATGGAAGTAAGGTTACAATTAGAAATTCTAATAAATTCAAAAATTATTTCCAGAATTCAATAAATTCAAAGACAAAATCACTAAAGATTTTGACACATTGAGAAAAGAATTTGCAGCCTTCCAAGATATGAGAAATACAGTAGAATCCCTCAGTAACAGAAAGAAGCAGGCAGAAGAAAGAATATCTGAGATCGAAGACAAAGCTTTTGAATGCTTCCAAATGCTCAAAGAGGAAGAGAACTGGAGAGCAAAAATGGATCATT